CCTTAAGTGAGAAAAAGGGAAGACGCGTTGCACGGGATGCACCTTCTAGGGGTTTTGTTGACCTGGTGCCACAGTGGACACACCTTTGAAGACGCGTTTCAAGACATGTGTTTTTCATTTTAGGGTTTTTGGTTTTTTTTTGCTGGGTTTTTAAATTTAAAAAAAATAACAATTATTTTAATACAAATTTAATTTAATCTTATCATTTTCCTTATCGAGTTCAAACTATTATTTCTGCACGGAATGCATTGTCAAAAAAATTAAAAGTTATAAAATGGTATCGCTTTATTTTAATACATAAATAGGGTACTACTTTATTAAGTTCATCGATTATTAAAAGTTATAAAATGGTCATTAGACTATAGAGTGTTGTTCTGTTGAGTCCCCGACTATTAAATTTATAAAATGATCACATGACTATTTATTATATTCCTAACTCGTCGTTTTCTACTGAAAAATGGACGATATTCTAAGCTGAATATTAACTTGTTGATTGTGATATGATAAAATCTCATATCAAAATTTCAAACTACTATCATATCTCAATCATCATGTTAACCTCAAGCTTAAACAACCTTCAACTTTTAATAGTCGAATGATCATTTTGTAACTTTTAATAGTCGATAAACTTAATAAAATAGTACCATATAATCGAGAGACTATTTATGTATTTTACACTAAATTCAAAGAATCAAATTTCCATTAAAATTGACGGTTGTTTAAGCTCGAGGTTAACATGATGACTGAATATAATAGTCGTTTGAAATTTCGATATCATATTTTATTGTATCATGTCGTGCAGACACAACTGAGTGTCCCGAAATGCGACTTCAAAGGTGCATCCACCGTGGTACCAAGTCAGCAAGATCCTGGAAGACGCATTGCACGGGACGCGCCTTCTTTTTTTCTCACCTAAGGCGCTTTTGGTGAAACCCGTCTCCTCTTTCCTCCAAAAGGATTTTAGATCGATAAATATTTGAGAAAAAGATGTCTCATCGGAGATATTTAAATTTTAGGGTGATTTTTTATTGATATGGGATAAGAATAAGACAATATTTGTTTAAAGATAATTCTTAATCATTTGAGATTGAATGGTCACACTCCTGACATTCTTGGTGCTCAAATCTGAGACCTCGAGAAATAACAACAATTCTTTTAGGTAAAAGGGTAACTTTTACACCTATAGTAGACTCAATTTATCACTTTCACCCCTGTCATATTTTACATTAATTTAGCCTCAAAGTTGTTCAATTGCATCATTATATATCGTACCCCCCAACTTAAATACTAATTATAATCCTAAATCCTAAATCATAACTCTATGACCTCTAAACCATAATCTTTAACCCTAAACCCTACCTTAGTGTTTATAATTTAGGGTTTTAAGTTAGAGGTAAGATATAGAATGATGCAATTAAACAATTTTGAGGGTTAAATTGATGTGAAAATACGATAGGGGCGAAAATGATAAATTGGATCTACTACGGGACAAAAGTGACCCTTAAGTCATTCTTTTACTACCGAAGCCGCTCGATTCGTGCATACAGGCACGAGTCATACAAGCTAGAATTCCCCTTTTTAATATTTGAGATTTGGTATAATTATTTATTTGAAACTTTAATCATAATCACATTTAATACATAATGTATAATAACTATAATCAATTATTAGTTTAGTATGATGCATAAATAAATAGATTGATTATATTATACTTAATTTAATATTTTATATTTGAATTAAAAATTTATATACAAATAAATTTAAAGACTCGAACCTAATAAAAAGATTTAAAATATAGTCATTTATAAGTACATCTAAAGTCTCATTAACACTGACGGTATGACTATTTATAAGGGCGAAGGAGAGTACAATTATTTAGACCATACCAGCAACTAAAATTAAACCTAATTCAAATGTCCCGATGTCCCGATTATAGAATATTACTTTATTAAGTCCCTTAACTACTAAAAGTTATAAAATTATTTTCTAATTATAAAGATTTGTTTTGTCGAGTCCCTCGACTATTAAAAGTTACAAAATGATCACTCTACTAGTCATTATGTTTCAAACTCATCATTTTCTATTAAAAGTTTAAAGGTCGTCCGAGCTAAATGTTAACATGTTGAGTGGGATATGATAGTCATTTGAGATTATGAGATCATATTTTATCATGTCTCAGTTGACAATTAATGTACAACTCAAATTGTCCTCAAATTTTTAACAGAAATAGACAAATTTAGAACATAACGAATAGTCGGGTGACCATTTTGTAACTTTTAATAGTCGATGGACTAAACAAAGCAACTCCCGTAGTCATAGGACCATCTTATAATTTTTAATAATCGAGAGATTTAATAAAATAATATTATAGTCGGGGGACCATTTGTGTACTTTACCCATTAAGAATTAGGCTTAAAGGCAGCGTCGGCCGTGTGGCACATAAATCCACATTCATGTGCCAAAGTTATTGAAAGAACTCCTCCCAAAGCAAAGGAAAGTTCAAATAAACAAATCAATTAATCAAACATGAATAATGTGGCTTGAGAGAGTTATAGAAGAGTAACTTTTGGGGATTAAATTGTTGTTTTGGTCCTTCTATTTAATCAATTTGGAGATTTAGTCCTCATCCTTCTACAAAATCATAATTTGATATTTTTATTGAAATGGGGATTGCTTCTTCGTGTACCTAGGACGATGGATGGTAGTTGGATGAATTATGAGTGCTCACTATTTAAGGGAAGCACGTAATAAACCTCCACACGCAGTGCAAATAAGTAAATGACTATCCAGCTCAGTTGATAGAGCACAAGGTTCTTAACCTTGAGGTCGTGGGATCGAATCTCACGGAGGGCATTTTATAATTCGGATGTTTTCTACGGAAGCTGTTCTCAACCTGGAGTTGGGGGCAGCCTACTATCTTACCTCCCCTTATCCCATTACATATGAGAACAAGAGACAACCATTTAAATGAAAAAAGAACCTTTCAAAAATCACATAGCAACGTATGACTTTCTGGTATGGAGTATATAATTTGATGAAAATTAATTTTTTTTATTAATATGAGCTAAGTTCAAAGCAATATATGTTCAAAGATAACTATCAACTTTTCGACATTAAACGCTCACACCTCTAATATCTATGGTGCTCAAACCCGAGTCCTAAATGAATAACAACAATTCCTTTATCACGAATGTCACTTGATTCATGCTTTATGAAAATAATTAGATATAAGCAAAAGGGTAACTTTTGTCTCTGTAGTAGACTTAATTTATCACTTTTGCCTATATCGTATTTTCGCATCAATTTAGCCCTTGAAATTGCTCGATTGCATCATTTTATACTCTACCCCTAAATAATAATCCATAAACCCTAAATCATAACTTATAGTTTATAATATAGGGTTTTAAGTTAGGGGTAGACTATATATAATGATGCAATTAAACAACTTTGAAGGTTAAATTGATGTGAAAATACGATAGAGACAAAAATGATAAATTGAGTCTACTACATAGGTAAAAGTGACCCGTATGCCTTAGGTATATAATATATTTGATATCTATTAATCACGTATGTTTTAATTAGATTAGAAATTAAGTCGAATTTGATGTTTTAAATAATATTATTTTTTTAAAACCATAAAATTTAAATGAAGTACATTAAATTTTCTCATAAAAAGGCATATTAGGTTTCCAAAGAAGAACAATATCACCATCAAAGTAATGGTAGCTTCAGCTTCAGAGTCTGAGAATTTGTGGTCAGCACCAACCCTAAACCCACAAATACCCTAATGGGGCTGACCATAAAATAATTACTGTCTTTAAATTCAAACAACCATTTATAAAGGTGAGGTTTTTTAGGCAATTTCAGATGTAATCAGCAAATGACTGGGAAGATAGTTTTTTCTTCTTACGCTTTGGGGGCAACCGAGGACCCGTTGTTGTTCATCCCATAAATAAATAGAATTAAATATGTTAGGTTAAATTATACATTCAGTACCTAAACTATCAATTCTAGTCCGTTTTAGTATCTAAATTTTTAATTTTTTTCAAAAGCATACCTAATGTTTATTTTTTGTTTCATTTTAGTATCTCCCAGTTAAAAACTTAAAGGAAGAGCTTGTCGATCGCCATGTCTACAGTCGATGGTCGTCGCATCCGTTGGCCAATGAAACCCAAACATTCTAACCCATACATTTTCAACCCCTGAACGTAATTTCGGCCTCCGTTTCATTGGAAAATGCCTCAATCTCCCAAATCTGCGATGGAATCTTCAACTTCTTTACCCTTTGATCTTTGTCATCAACCGTCTAATGGGCCTAAAACTGGACTATGTTAGTCGACTCATCATTCTCTCGTGGTCCACTATTTGGATTTGTCGTCTGTCCACCAGAGTTGCGTTATGTCAGTCAGTCCGTTAATTTTTTAACGACGGATACTAAAATGAAACAAAAACTAAACGTCAAGTATGATTTTGAAAAAAAATAAAAATTTAAGTATTAAAACGTATAGATTAAGTACTAAATACATAGTTTATCCAAATTACTATTATATAAATTATTTAACTATTATATCAATAATTTCATAATTTAATTAATATTGTTTTACTCAATAATTAAAATAAGGTAGATTTCATAATTTAATAATGATATACAGAGTCAGTCTATCCTAAGTTATTTGGGAAGGTTTGGGATAGTGAAAGAGAGAGAATCTAAAACAGTGAGATGCCAGCTATGAAGTTGAAGAATCAAATCATTCTCTGAGGTCAAATCTGGCATTGCAAATTCCTTTCATTTTTTTATAACTATAGGTGTTTTATCTATTAATCTAATTATTCGTATCGAGTACTACAAAGGTAAGAGTGACCTCCCAATTTAATTTATTTCATTCATAAATGTCATAATTCAAACTCCTAATCTTACTCATAATATATAATCTCTTATCTCACTTAGTCTGTTGTTGGTTTTCATTTTCTTTCTTTTATAGGGCATTTGTTCTCTCCCCTTATTTACTACTCGGATTTTAAATCAATCCTCCATCTTCCTTATCTCTACCCATCTCCCGCTCTAAACTCCCATTTTCCCGAGAAAGGGAAAAAGAAAATGTTCATGCTTTGAGAGCAAGGAAGTGAAGTGTGTTGATGGTTGATTGAGTTTTTTGAACCTTTTGATTCAAAAGAAAACAACAACCCCATGGCGGTTTCTCATTGTTTGAGCGGTAATGATCAAAAGAAACACTGGTGGCTTACAAATAGAAAGGTAAAAGAGAAAACAATGTTAAAGCTTTGATCTTTGATCTTCAAGTTCCATCTTTGTTTCTCATCTTCTTAACGTTGATATGTTTAGGTTGTTGATAAGCACATTAAGGATGCGAGGAGTCTTATGGCGACGCAGGACAAAAACGAGATCGTTTCGGCTCTGAGTCTCCTCGATGCGGCATTGGCTCTATCGCCTCGTTTCGAGATCGCCGTTGAACTCAAGGCCAGAGCTTTGCTGCATCTGAGGCGGTTCAGGGAAGTAGCCGACATGCTTCAAGATTATATCCCGAGTCTTAAGATGTCTTCCGACGAGTCCGCATCGGTTTCATCGGAGAACTCGTCTCAGCGAGTCAAGCTTCTTCCTTCTGATGACTCGTCCTCTGATTCACCCGGTCGTGACCCGTCTTTCAAATGTTTCTCTATCTCGGAATTGAAGAAGAAAGTCATGGCTGGGTTGTGGAAGAAGTGCGAGAAAGAAGGCCAATGGAGGTGAATTTTTCACCCTTTACTGGTTTTGTTCTTTATTTTGAATGGTGTTTTTTTTAGCTGAGACTCGGTATAAACTCAATTTCGAAACAGGTACTTGGTTCTGGGTCAAGCGTGTTGTCACCTAGGCCTAATGGAGGACGCCATGGTTCTCATTCAAACCGGTAAGCGCCTTGCTTCCGCCGCATTCCGCCGCAAGAGCGTTTCCTTGTCCGAAGACAGCTTCTCCACCGCCGCCACAGCGCCTCCTTCCACGCCACCACGCAATCAAACCCCTTTCTCCGAATCCGATAACATTTCCCAGCTTCTATCCCATATCAAGCTCCTCGTCCGCCGTCGAACTGCCGCGATTGCCGCATTAGATGCGGGCTTATACTCGGAATCCATCCGCCATTTCTCGAAAATCATCGACGGTCGTCGCTCTGCACCTCAAGGATTTCTCGCAGAATGCTATATGCAAAGAGCCTCCGCTTACAAGGCCTCGGGACGTATAGCCGAGTCAATCTCCGATTGCAACAAAACTCTTGCTCTTGATCCAACTTGCATCCAAGCTCTCGACACCAGGGCCTCAATTTTCGAAACGATCCGATGTTTACCGGACTGTTTACATGACCTGGAACACTTGAAACTGCTTTACAATACCATTTTGCGAGACAGGAAGCTTCCGGGCCCTGTTTGGAAGCGCCACTACGTCCGGTACCGGGAGATTCCCGGTAAGCTCTGTGCATTAACAGCTAAAATCCAACAATTGAAGCAAAGGGTTGCTTCCGGAGAGACCGGAAACGTTGATCACTATGCATTGATTGGCTTAAGGCGAGGGTGTTCAAGGTCTGAATTAGATAGGGCTCATCTGCTACTTTGTTTAAGGCACAAACCGGATAAAGCTACCAACTTCATCGACCGATGCGAGTTCGCAGATGAGCGTGATCTCGACTCTGTTAAAGACCGAGCCAAGATGTCGGCATTGCTTCTTTACCGGTTGCTTCAAAAGGGTTATTCGAGCATTATGGCTACTATTATTGACGAAGAAGCGATTATGAAGCAAAGGAAGAATGCCGCAGCTGCTTTACAAGCAGCAATCCAAGTGCAGCAAACACAATACTCGATCGCTAAACCGGAACCGGAAACCAGCCGTGCTTCGACATCGAATCCATCAAACGTTTCTAGCTGCAAAACCAGTGTAAAATCAAGTGAAAACAAAGCCGCAACAAATGTGTTTCAAGGTGTATTTTGCAGGGATCTTGCCGTTGTTGGGAACTTGCTATCGCAAGTTGGGTTTAATCGACCACTTCCGGTGAAATACGAGGCACTAAGCTGCTGATTTCGCCATTGGTAGTCGATCAAAATGACAATTTCTCTTGAGATATTTTTACCGGCCGTGGAATCTCTGCTTCACTCTTTCTATTTGTACAAAACATGATTATATCGTCTGTCGGGAAATTTTGTCACCTTCCATGTTATCCACTACCCTGTCCCTGTATATTACTTTGATTATCGAAAATTTCTACTTTTGGCTGCATTTTCTTTGAGATTCTGCTTATGCTTTTGGGTACGCATTTCATTAACCGGTGTATTTAGATTTAGAAAGCTGCCATCATTTGGGCATAGTTTTTCATGTAAACTACTCCACTATTTCTCCGTTGCATTCCTCAAAGCACATAATTGCACATGATGGAATTGGTGGGTAAAAAAAAAGGTTAATTATAAAATAAATTATCATACTATTAACGTTTTTTCACGAATAAGTGTTTAAATTATTACTTTTTAAGAATAGATGTTTAAACTATTTTTTGAATGATCTCGGTGCCTAACGTTACAAACATTAGCATTTTAAATGCACCGGATGTCAACGACGTTATTTTCTTCCGTTGCATCACTAGACACAATTTGGTAATTTTTAAAAAAAATATTTAAAATTAAAAAAAATTAAAATTATATTTTTTTTGAAATAACTCCAAAACTTTGAAAATATTCATTTCAACCCCTAAACCTACGCCGGCTATTCATTTTATCCAAGCTCATCATTTTTCATTAAAAATTGATAGTAGTTTGAGCTGGACGTTAACTGTTGAATGAGATATGATAGTCATTTTAGATTCCGAGATCAGATTATATCATATATCAGCCAACATGTTAATATCCAACTCAATATGCCATTATTTTTAACGAAAAAAGACAAGTTTGGAACACAATGAATAGTCGGGTGACCATTTTGTAACTTTTAGTAGTCCGGGGACAAAAAAAGTAAAGTCATATAGTTAAGGGACCATTTTATAACTTTTAATAGCTAGGGAACTCAATAAAACAACACCCTATAGTCGTGAAATCATTTATGTACTTTACCCTAATTATTTTTGTGTTAAAGAAAGAAAAAGGGTTAACTAGTGGATTAGGTTTTGTTTGTTTAATAGTGATAACTTGTCTTAGAAGATAGAACCATCACCTTACCATAATCTCATAAAAGAATAAATATTAAAATGACAAATAAGTCAATGGTTCGAATCTTAACTATTACGAATAGAGTAAACTATGTTTGGAGGGGTGTCCTTGCCTCTACAGTACTCGATTAGGATTAGTTGATTAATAGATCGGATACCGAAAGTTATACCAAAGTTTGATTGCAAGTGATTTATGTTCCCTCTCTTTATTTTACTTTACTTTACTTTACATCTTGCAGCTTCCTCTGTATCTTTGTATATAATTCTCAGGTGATTGAGATTTGTGATACAATTAAAACTAAAACGATAAACTAATAGGTCTATTTACGAATTTCATCCCTGTAATTTGCAATAATCTGATAACATAGTCCAACTAGTTAACCAAAAACCAGCATGTTTTGCCTCTTTGAAAATCAAATTTCATGGTAGCTATTGTACAATGCATGAATCTCACAGCTCGGTTTTCCTCTAAATAAATTTAAGGGTAAATTACACGTTTAGTATGTAAACTATCAGTTTTGGTCTATTTTAGTACCTAAACTTTTAATTTTTTTCAAAATTATACCCAAAGTTTAGTTTTTATCTCGTTTTAGTATCCTTACTTAAAATTTAACGTTAAGTTTTGATTTTTTTTTAAATTGTATGCACTAAAACGGATCAAAATTGATAGTTTAGGTACTAAACGCGTTAAGTTTTTACCGGCAGGGTACTAAAATAAAATAAAAACTACATGTTAGGTATGGTTTTGAAAAATAAAAATTCAGACACTAAAGAGTATTAAAACTGATAATTTAAGTAGCGTAATTTATCTTAAATTTAAATATTTATATAATTTTAACATATTCTTTTATCACGAATATCTCTTAATTTATACGCATGTGTATATATATTATATATATATATATAGATATATTCATTTAGTTAACGTAATGATGTTTATTTTTTTGATGTGTTCAGTTCACCTTTTTAAAGCAACTTTTGTTTATTTTCTTGTGGCGAAAGAAAAGGGTAGCTTTGCATCAATTCTCTCGAGGTTCGGATTATACAATTATTTTTAATTAAGAATAAATAAAATTCGATTCATTTAAATATATATACACACGTAAAACTAAAAGTTTTTAATTCTAAAATCGTTGGGGGAGAGAAAATCAAATACTTAGATTAACTCTTTATTTTTTTTCAGTGAATATATTATTATTTCCTACTGTTAATCTAAGTCTTTAATTGGATTCTAACCCATATATGTGTGTAGCGACGAGATCCATTTACACCTAATCTAAAATTAAGAATTTTATATTTTTTAGGACCTTGGATGAAAGAAATCAAAAGCTAAGACTAACAGTAGAAAACGAGAAGATATTCACTGAAAGAAGTTAATTTCAGTCTTCGATTTCTCTCAATCTAATAATCCTAAAAATGTGTAAAACTTTTGATTTTATACCGAGCGTAAGTGAATATTGTGAGATATGAGACTTCTTTTCATTCGACCCGTCGTGTATTCGTATATCATATGTGTACGTATATACTTGTTTTTTTTTTGTACTTGGATTCAAAAGTGTGCTAAATGTATAATTATGCCACGGGCACCATGTGATGGAATCATGTGCTTCTCTTTTGTTCTATAGAATGGATAATCAACGGTCCCAAGAAAAAGTATACGTATTCGTAAAGCTGGTATTTTGTCCAAGCTGGGTGACCTAATCACACTTGTACAATACAACACCTTTTATCTGACGAAATTCCCTGTTTTATTCTTTGCTTTTGTGCTTATAAAACGTGAAGAATAAAGAACAAAGCTAATAATATTTTTCAACGTTAAATCTCAAACCTTAAACCTTAAAATTGTATATATAGTATAAAAATTAGAACACCCAAGATGCCCCTATTTACTCTCAATGATACTGGAAAATACTGCAATTGGTAGCGGAAATTTTATATTAAAAACCCAAATAAATATAATTATTTAAAGAAATAGGCCCTCCAGAAATTATTTGAAATAATAACCCCAAATCATCCACATCGAATGACCACACGGTCTACAAACCGCGTGTTAAATCCTCGCACCCTCCAACACGCGAGATACATCCGACGTGGGCACATTTTCCAGGTAAGCCAATAAAACAGTTGGATAAAATGACATCGCGCACTGCAAATCGCCTTTATGATCCAAAATGTTGCGAGATTTATGGGGACCTCGCGGCCTGCAAAGCGCGAGGACAATATATTCTCTACCCTCCCTTTAGTGTCCATAGCATTGTTCGGATACTATTTTCGAGTGGGAAACTGATTTTTTTTTTAATTATAAACGCGTAGTGTTGCAATTTATCTTTAAGGTGACTATAATATCAACATATAAAAGACATTTTAAACGGAGTAAAAATGACGTTGAAAATGATTAGAAATCATGGTTTTGTGAAAGAAAAAGAAAAAATAGTTTGATAGACATATTGGAGTGTTATTTCTGACTTATAAATATGAGTAATATGTGTTGTTAATTAAAAAAAGAAATAATACAAAAAGCCCATTTAAATTGATACGTGGGGTTGAGCAATTGGGACATTTGTTCTTCGTGTGTCTGAGATTCCTACATATAGAGCATAATTTTAGTTGTCCGGTTCTTTTTTTCTATTCGATCAAATCCTCGTCACAAAAAATTCGGGTTGACCGTGGACAACCGGTTTTTTTTATCTTAATGCATAATCTAATTGTATTGTAAGTTCATCATCAGTTTCGTCCGGATCTCATTCATTTCCAATGGGAGGAAAGTCATATTCATAAACCATTAATATAGTTTTAAGTAAGTAAACCCGGTCAACGAATCTCATGTAGGGTATTCGAACAAAAGAATCAGCAGCAATGGTGTGCGCACACGAGTATTTGAAAGTTTGGAAGAATCTGCACTCGCATGTTTTTTCTCGTAAATTAACCACGCATGCGTTGTGTTGTATGACTTCCAATGGCCTCACAAATTTTGTTACACAGAATAATGACATTTCGCGAGATAAACATATTTCACTCATCGCGTTGGAATGGTGCTAGAATGTTTGCAATTTTCTGATGAGGCATGGGTGGATTTGGTGGACATCTGCCATCCAGTCAGCTGTTTTCCTTCCCAAGACTGTGAAAAGGGTTGTCAGTTGATAATATGTTGCTTTAACAATGGACGTGATAGGCAAATGACGCACTCCCTTTAGTGATGAATTTATTGCCTCATCCAAGTTCGTTGTCATGTGATCATGTCATCTACTCCCATCAAATGATCGAAGCCATTTCTCCTTTGGGATTCTAGCAAGATAGTTGAAGCTCTTATAATTCATGTGTCTCAGGTCTTACATCATGTCCTCAAACTCACGTACAGACTGTGTGTAACATATTAATAAAAAAATGGAACAAATAATTTGAAATAATTTTTGTAAAGATATGGTAAACCGAAAAGGGTGAAAGACGTACCCATTCGAAACATCATTAAACACTCATTTTGACTCTTGAACTTCTGCAAAGAGTTTGCGGTAATATGTCGTAAACAGTACTGGTGATAAATATTGGGGGTTGGCAAGATTGGCTCATATGTTGAAGTGCGTATTTGATATAGCGCATCTGTCAGAAATAAGACAAATCTCATCATCTCTATCATATCATGCATCACATGTGATAGAACATATGTTTGTAAGTTCGTAAGAAAGAATTCCCAAGAGTCAACATCTTTATTTTCAACAATTGTTAATGCGATGGGAATAGTTTTTTTGTTGTCGTCTTGTGCAACCGTCAATAACATTATTTGAGTGTATCGACCATATAATCAAGTATCGTCGATTTGAACAACCAACTTGCAATGTCGGAATGCATTAATGCATTGCGGAAAAGTCCAAAAGAGTCGTAGAATTAATAGACACCTTGTACAAC